CAATTCAGAAGAAAATCTTAGAACCAGCAAGATCTAATAGGTACAAGCAAAACATTTCTTAACAACGGTAAACAACACTGTGGTACTATTTGATGTATTATTGTTAATATATGTTAAATGTTGCTTTACTCTTTGTAGCATTACATAGCATCCACATGGCCAAAAAAATTATCATCAGTACCGAGATTAATTATAATTCAGGGCCATACTCTCTTCTTTTTCGTCTCTTACTTCCTTTTTACCACGAAGTATGTAACGTGCATGTATATCCCTCGATCAAAGAGGAAATAACCACTAATGTCGCTGAAATGAATCTTCTCCCCCTCTTTTTTCTTCCTCATCTTCTTTCCCTTCATTTTCTTCTTTCTCTTCTTCTTCCTATTTTTTCTTCCTGGTACATGTAATAGAAGCAGCAGTATCATAGTCATTATTGTTATTGTTATTGTTACAGTTATTACTATTTTACTATTGTAATTATCATCATTGTTATTATAATTATTATTATTACTATCATCATCATCATCATTAGTAATGTAATTTTATACTAATATCATCATCAGCATCAGCATCAGCAGCATAATCATCATTGTCAGAAGTATAGTAATACATGAAGGCATTGTAGTAGCGGTAGCATTCTTATCCTCATTATCATAATCATCTTTTGAAATAAATGTGCCCAGGATTATTTTCAAAACGCTCAATTCGTTGCTGATATATTATCAAGAAACATAAACAAAAATGAAATATTTAATTATAGATTTTAAAATAAATTAAAATATAAAGTGGAATAAAATACAGAATAAAGTAAAATATGAAATGGAAAATTGAATAAAAAGTATAATATAAAATGGAACATATTAAGTTAAAACGGATAATATATTTGAAATGAAGGTCTAGAAATACACGAATTTGCATAGTGCACTATTACAGCAATCATAACCAGGACAATGGACCTATTCGGGTTCAATTAGGCAGGTTTGTGCAATGCATCGTAGAACTAAAACAGAACTGAGAAACAATATAAAGATTCAATAATGAGATCAAATCCTGGCAACTTTAGGAAAAAAATATATCGCCATTAACATCTCATATATTAAAGTTACTTTATCCCATTTGCAGCTCAAAACATGAAAAGTTTAAATTAAAACGGCATTTGAAAGACAATACCTATCTAAAAACGAAAAGGTTTGAAAATGGATTTTGTGGGAAAATAACCACCATCAGTTGTCGAATCGACATAAGTGATTGCAATCACCTAAGTAATAGTCTGATTCATATGCTACGGTCACAAAGGTTCATACGAACGATAATTTCGTACGAATCTCCCTGTTTTTCCATTGTCTTCCCGAATTTCCATTGTCTGAAAATCGTTCGTACGGCGTTCGTAGCAGTTCGTAAAGGCATGTGTGACCGAGGCTTTAGACCCTTGTACTGAATGGTTGTACGTTTTGTGCTGCACAACGATGCAATCAGATTAATTCTGCAACTACAAGAAGTGGGTTATTGATGCAGACAAATGATCATGTACCTGTTACAGCTCATTTTATGTATGTAATTACCAAAGAAAAGGACGGACACTTATAAAAATAGTCCTCTAATTTCTGGAATTAGAGTATGGAACCAACTTAAAAGTCCTGTCAAAATGTCACCTACTTTGAACAGTTTTAAACACGCTCTAAAAGCCCTGTTATCTGTAGATAACGTGTAAGTGAACTTTTGGTGGTTTCGTGCAAAGGTAACCATTTTTTTCCTACTTGCAAAATTATGAAATTTGGCTGACATGGTTATCGTTATATCATGGATTCATACATGTAATGTATCCATTTTCAGCTTGTAAACAAACTAAGTGTATTAGTTAAAGAGCAATTGAATGTAAATATGTATATAACAATTTTGGTATCCCGTGCGTTAAGCTTTATCAGACTATTAAATGAACGTTTTTAAAAATTATATTTAATTTGAAAATTCCATTCACCTATTTCTTGTAAATGATCAAGGATGATTCTTGAATGATCAGTTATTTCTAGGGGATACCAATTATTTTGTATTTTACCTGTTTATATGCTTGTGTATTTATCTATTTTGTTTTTGATGCTGTTATTTGTTTTTATTATTAGCAAACAGGGCCTCATGGAAGACCACCAAATTGGTGATATGTGCCACCCTGTATAAATATCAGAAATAAATAAATAAATAAATAAAAAGAAAAAAAATGTCAGTCAGTCACTCAATAGTGTCTAGAAAGTAAACGGGTTTTTCTTCATAATTTAATACTAGGACACTGCTAACGTTTAAATTTCACAGATAGGACATACATGACATATTAACAATTGCTGCAAAGTTCTACAAAATTTGATGTTGGTTGCAAAAGGGGCATAGTATATTTAAGTATGTAAGATAATATGTGAGATCCTGGGGTAAAGTATTGACCAAATAATTTGTCGGTGGTGGGTAATGCTTATTAACCTTGGTGAGTGAGACAATGCTTGGATAACAATCTCTTTTCATCTTAGGTTTACGTTTATACGTGTAGTATACGCATAAATGACATGAGGATAACAAACAAAAACACGTTCAAAATGTTGGCATGAATGTATACTTTATTGTATTCATTATTTTTTCAGCTAATATTTTTATGATGGAACGCGAAATTTTAGTTGCCTTAAGTTATAGTTCACATGACGTGATGATTGCATGGTAATCTCAGGTTAATCATATACAAAGTATCATTATAAACATGGTATACCGAGCATTTATTTTGTTTCTTTCTTTCCCTCTGTTCGACCTGTAGACATTGATTTTCATTTGACATTATATACAGCTGAATTTTCTATTCCACTGCTACGAACTTGCAATTGAAATAATTGTTACGTCTTTTCTTATTTTCAAAGTCCCAATTGAAACTAGACATTTTTTTTTTGGTGGGAGGGGGTAACAACTATGGTGGTCACATCCACCATCCAACTTTATGGCAAAACGAGCAGATAATGAGATGACTCATACTCTGCTTCTCTTATATTTTGTGTTGATTATTAACATTTATATTTCGGTCCACAGATGTCAATAACTTTGATACTCAGATTACATGGCTGTGGCTTTAAATAAAAAATAAAAATTTATTATAATCAAAAGATAAGCTGACATTTTTAGATGATTACCATTTGTTTTAAGTTTTTGAAAAACAAACATAGTTGTTTTTTCTCAAGTTCAAATATTTCTTTATTTTTACCATGGTAATGGCCATCGGTCACGTTCATCAACTGCTTTATGGCAAACAGACAGAATATGATAGATTATGGTCCTAGCAAACATGAAATCATCTTTTACAATTATGCAAACAAGTATTTAAACAATATCATGGTTAGTTTCATGTATTTTTTAATTACAGGGTTTTTTCTCACTGTTTTCATAGCAACATCAAATTTCAAACATGACTGACACGTACCTGGAAAAATTGGCAGTTGTAATCAAGTAAGATGATTTAATTACACATATCAACTTACTTACAATGTGTTTTTAACTTTCCAAATCACAAATATATAACTTTTTCTTAAATTCAATCGTTCTTGCCTCGTTGCCATGGTAATAGCACTAGTTTTTATACCCACCACCAATATTAGATCCTACAAGCACATTCTTGATTCTTAAATTAAGATTGTGTCTAAAGGGGTGGGGCCTTTTCAATTATTGGCCCATGGGGCAGTATTGCTAATACCTCTGAGAATTGCCATATACGGTACATGTACGCTGTAGATGTTAATTTACAGAGTGTTTTCCACTCAAAATGCGCATCCTGTACAAAGACATCAATTCATTCGGGATAGCATAAAATGACCTATCCATCACATTATCTGATCATTTATTTTCTTTGTGTGGCATAACAACATGAATTATATTTTTAATCAAGATAAGGTGTTTCAATTGATAGTGTTTGAAAACTTTTAACTATAATTGTTTTTTTATTACCCTATATTCTGCGTTAATCACACTTTCATGCTTCATTGTGCCATGCATATGTGTGAAATAACCAACTTCAAAGTATGAAACAGGGTTACTACTTTAAACTAAAAATGAAAAAGGTCCTTTTCAGATATTCGGTCAAAAATGTGTAAAAATTATTCTTTTAAATCTTTTTGGTATGTGCGTGGCATCGATCCTATAGTATTTTTGCAAGATAAGTATCATTGGATTTCATGCATTACCTACCAAATGCCGTCCAAATTAAAAGAATAAAAGATATAAATATCACGTCTAAGAGATTGCTTGTGGGCGGAGGATTGAACCTTCTCATCTATAAAATTGCACTGGAGTTAGGCTGGGGCCCTGTTAAAACTTGTTATTAGTACGAAAAAGGGACACTTTTCAATAACAAATGGCCTCTCAGCCAATCAAAAATGCAACAATTTTCAGTAGCTTTTAACAGTTATTACAACTTGTTATTAATAACAAATTTTATTATTAAAGCAGGGCCTAACTGGCCTTCCAGTGGCGGATCCAGGGGGGGGTTGGGGGGGTTGCAACCCCCCCCTTGGGCGGCCCAAAAAAAAAAAAAAAAAAAAAAAGGGAAAAAAAAGAAGAAAAAAAAGAAAAAAAGAAAGAAAAAAGAACGCACGCTGGAGAGAAACCCTTTCAAGTGCAAATATTGTGAGAAGATATTCAACTCATCTGGTAACTTAACCAAACACATGATAACTCTGGATATAACTGTGTATTAAACTGTTACTTGATTTAAAAAGACGTTATCATGCACTGCTTTTTATGGTCTCCATTGTGTTAATAGATGCCAGGAAAACATCACTTACGGGGTTCAAATAAACACCCCCAAAAAAATCGGCTCGCCGCTTCGCGGCTCGTGGACGATGCTCCGCATCGTCATTATTTTGGTCAACCCCCCCCTTAGCAAAAAGCTAGATCCGCCCCTGCCTTCCTTCAGGGTGATTTTATACAAATTGGTCTCATGTGGAATGCCCGGATGTATACTTTTAAATACGTGTACATACCTGAAGGAACAATACTTGTTTTCTGATTTCAGAGATTTTGTCTTCTTCTGTCTGTGTCAGTTTGCCTGAATCTACAATGTTTTCAGGAGCAAAAGCTACATGCGAGAAGGAGAGAAAGAATAAACACCATTTTAATTGATTTTAACTAATTAACATTATTGGGAGAAAGTGATCAATTTTTTATAAAATTTTGATTAAAGTCTAATGTTTAACTTGGACACGTTATTGGTACAATGTTGTTGCCGTTAATTACAATTTCATGAATGTATTAGCCCTATTTGTTCAACCGTATTCCTTTTAAAAGGTTAAAAAAGGAAGAACAAGTATCAACGCAAATTGATGTTTTCGATTAGTTACAGCCAGCTTTACTTTATTATACATATATTATAGTGTCGTGTGTAAATTTACAATGCTCTGTTTGTTATATATTTCTAAAAATGCAAAAGAAAAAGAAAATTAAACAGAAATAAATAAATCAAGAAACTTTTCTTTGGCCAATCGAAGCTAATTCATTTGGTTGAAATCACACACCAGACAATGCTCTTGCGGATCAGAGTTACCGATAAAGTACATTTTATTATTCCTAACCAAAAGGTTGGTTGTGAAATTAAACCCCTTAAACACTTTGCTCAAAATACATTCATGATGTTGTAGGGAGGACATTTCGCCTATTTTGGACATCAATGGTAGAAATTTACCGTGACAAGTAGCAGTGTGATATAAATGAAACCTGCCCAGAAACCTCACCTTCATCTTGCGTACCTTCCTTTGAAACAGCAACGGCTTGGGTGACTCCAACAAGACACAGACATGAAAATAGAACTAAAGTGACGACAAAGAACGACTTCATCTTGAACAGTTTGCTGATAGCAGCCGAGAGATTTTTTTAAAATTTACTTCGAGTGAAGATTTTATAGGAGAATTTCTGCAATCACTTTGATGAAGAGATGAATGCGTGGTGATTTTGACTGTCCAAGGATCGGGTTGGATTCAGTATTTATACCACTTAAGCCCCTCCCACTTTTTGCCAAATTAGGTGACAGGAGGGGCCAGAGCTAGTTTGGCACAACCATTTGTGTATTAAGCAGAGTTTTTTTTTTTGTATTTAAAGTCTCTAGAACCGTTTTCATTAATACACATTAAGCTGAGCTGAGCTATAGCGCAGAAGTGGCAAGCTCGACATCCAAATTATATGGCAAAGTATGAAAGGGGCAAGGTACATGTAGACAGTCACACTTTCACATGAGATCCTTAAACATTTTTGTGATGATACATATATCCCAAGGTGACTTATGATTAATTTCCTTTTCTATTTTGTTTGACTCCAGCTGTCCACTTGATTGGATAGACCGCCTTGCTACCTTCAATACTTTTGTAGGTATTAATAAATCTCAATGGAGTGAAAGATTTGTCAGGAAGTTATCCATTCCAATCTGGGAATTTGTAGACCGCCAATATCTAGCTGCCTACTCAAAGGTACTGATGGACGAGACTTAGACATGACTGAATGTGTCGTCCATGATTCACCTTGGAAAGACTGGGGTTTTGGCTCGTTGTATATGGAATAGATGAGGGTTTTAAAAGTATTACAGGTCACTAGAGCCAAGTATATCCTTGAAAGAGCGAAGGTATTGAGAAAGACTGTTCCACAACCTGGGTGCAGAAGCAGCAGAAGAAGATTTGTCGCCTAGCAGAGAATTTTAATAAAGATAAGGCACTGCCATTTTGAAGCATTGAGGGCATAACAAATAAAAAGCACTTTTCCATTACTACAGACAAATCACGACAAATGGCATCACCTTGATAGATCGTGCCGAGACAATATTTACATGGAACGATATTGAAATAAAGAAGTCCATTACGGTTGAGCTAAATGAGGATGATGTTCGAGACAAGAAGAACCCATCGTAAGAGGGAATAAGCTTAATATAATAAATGATGATGATGATTAAGATGATGATGATGATGATGAATTTAAGAAAAAGTAATATAGGTTAACTTTATCAGCGTTTGACAGGGTAATATTTTGTCCCGTATTATTGGTAACAGAATTAAAAATGAAACTAAACAGGTCTTTAACTTGGTGACCCGACAGGGATTGTTTTCATTTTACCAATAGCTGAGGGGCACATAAGACTTGAAATGGAGAGGGGTACTTCGTACTTGGTAGGATTCCTCCAAAAGACGCCCTAAAGGTGTTTAAACTGGAGGTGTGTCGGGGGTGAGGGTGACTGACAAACATTTCCCCTAAATTTTCCCTAAAATTATCTAATAAGCCAAAAAATCAACAAACAACAACAACAACACCCCGCCCCACCACCGCCACCAAAAAAGGTACCAAGACTAACATTCCAATATAAACTTTGCGACATGGCGTGAGCTATGATGACATGGTAGAACACTAAAAGATCTCTATATTATTTTGCAATTTCAACCGCGCACATTCTATTCTCAGATTAAACTATCGAATATCAATACACCAAAACCATAGATGAGGGAAATAAAATATTGTGAGCTGAGATTTCCTGCTGGAAATATATGTCTTTGATGACTGTTCTGTTATGTTCACATAAGGTAACAAATAGTAAAAGACAAACCGGTAAGTAAAAGGCATGGTACCAATAGAGGGAGCCATCGTCATTATGCTCATTTTCTGAAAGTGCGTTTATTAAGTCGCCAGCCTACGAGACCAGCACTGAGGGTCCAAAGGGCCGTCGGTCTAGCGAACCCTCTAGAGAGCCAACTAGACCGTCACCGTCGGTCTCGTTGGCTGTAGCCCGGTCTGTAACTCGAGAGACACTTGTGTCTCTTAAGGTTCATCATTCCTAAGATTCGCAATGCCAAACATGATGTTATCATACCAGACGGGAAAGACGGTTCATACTTTTGAACAAGACATTATTGCGTTATTCCAAAAGTTCGTTAAACCGAACGTTCGTCATTCTGAGAGGTAAATAGTGTTCATTTTCCATGGACATATCCATATCTCAATAGTGCTCGAGACATTATAGGAGGAAGGGAGAGAGATAGAGGGTAAAAATAAAGAGGGCGTGTGTGACGGAGAGACCGACTGAAAGATAATTATTGACAATACCACGTAGATAACAGAGAGATAGAGAGGGAGAACATAAAGATTTATAAGAGGGAGAGAGAAAGAAAGAGATATATTTTAGATGAATAGCTCATTTCCGATTTCTCACTGACCGACCAATGCCAAAAACATAATTTTACTTCTTTTGCATTTTAATTTTTCTTGATCCTCCCCCCCCCCCCCCCTCTCCCTCTCATCCTCCATCTGACATGTGTTCTAATCTTCCGATGAACTAACAAACCGTACAATAATTGTTAATCAAACCGTTGGGCAATTTCATTAGTTTTGTCCATGACCATTGGAAATGTTTGAACCCTGCAATGTCATGAAATTACGTAATTACAAGACAAACAGCATGCTCTATTGATTCAATGTATTATTATTGCAACGAAAACATTATATTTATGTAGATCTTTTGAGATACTCGCTTCTTTTAATTTATTTTTTATGAAATTAAATCAAACGTACCTTACAGAAAAAGATATTTGTTATAAGGATAGATCCATGCATAGATTTCGCAAACAATGGAATGTGCTAGAATTAGGATGATATAGTAAAATGTTGTGTCGTCTGTCCTTTTTCTTTGTTTTTTCATCCATAATCTCGGTTTCTACTCATACTATATTTATCATCATTATGTAATTCGATAAAAAAAAAATATATATATATGAAATTACGTAATCTGAAACTGATTTCTGAAGCCAGTAAAATAGGGTAAGACAACTGAGATTGCCATTAAATCTTTTTCTTGAAAGTCATTGCGATTTTGTTATCCCCAAATAATAAAGGGGTTCGTGGTTGCATTATTTGAAGCTGCGATTGATTTTGGCGGTTTAATTATTAATCAATTTGTATAATAAAAAGATGCCAGTGAGCTCTGTAAAATTAACCCTCTAGATCAATCCCAACTTGTAACTGTATAGAATAATAAACAGGTAATCAAGATTTAAAGATTTCTCCTTCGTATTTATTTGAGCATGACCACGCATGAATGGAAAGACATGACATGAATTGAATAAGAAACATTTATTTAAAAAAATATCCATAGGCAGATAAGATTGATCTAAAGCAAGCAAGTTCCCTTCAAACATAATGGGTAATTCTAGGTACACCTCCACACATTTTCAATTATAAAGACAATCTACAGTATGTTTAATGCAGTTCAATTAAAGTAAATTCTTATATTTACATATTCATTAACTCTTATCCTGCCACAGGGCTAATCCCCCCAGTGCCAGATTTATAACGAGATAATCGGATTAACGCGATGGTACTAACAATAGCGCGTGCAAAACACTAGGCACAGTCCAATGGGCATGAACAATAACTGCTATTACGAATGTTTGCTAGCATGCAAGAAGCAGAGTAACAGTAGCGTGCACGCAGCCTCATGGCAGGCTATGAGTTAAACGATCAATGGGTTTCGTTTTACACTTCTGTAAGAATAAAAGCTAATTTGTTTCAAAAAATTCAGGTTTAATAGCAAAAAAACTATTCTTTCCTGAATGAAAAGAAAATCAACTATGAAATGCAATATAGGCCTACATCTACAACATTTAGAGAACCATTGACAAACCAGGCCTAATTTTATCAGACACTTTATCACTGTTGTGTATAAAAGCTAAGGTTTACACTTTATCACTTGTGTATGTATGATACTAAGGTGGACATTTTATCACTATTGTGTGTATGAAACTAAGATGTTTTAAAAGCATGACACGAACTGACAACTGTGTCAAACTATACAAAATGAAGAAGAATTTATTAGTAGGACTCTCTGGTACTCTTTTAGGTCCTAAAATTGCTATAAAGGTAATTTTAGACCCCAAAATGTGTGGAATTTAGCCAATATGATCATTCCAATTCAGCTCCACTTTAACCCTAATAAGGCCGGGGGGGGCATTTTGGCCCCTCCACGATTTTTCTGATTGTTCGGGAACGCATATGGATGGCGCCCCGCCGCACAGTGGGCCAGGGAGGAACCAAAGTGTGCCAAAACTAATTTCTGGGGATTTATTTTCTATAAATCCATAGGAAATGTTTGGATGTCCAGGGATTTCCGCTTAAATGGTATTACCAATATTTTCTCTGATATCTAAGCTTTAAGTTGATACCAGATTTGGCTGCCCGATTGTGCCCGTAATTATGTTAGAGCCGTTTTCTTTGCAACATTGCCCCGAAAAATGTGTTTATTTTGGGGCGCGGTGTCAGAACAAGTGTCACGCGCCCCAAGCGCCATGATTTATGACTGCGAATCCTTCATGATTCAGCCGCGGACTAAAAACAAACATATTTTTCGGGACAATGTGGCAAGGGGAATCGGCTCTAACATGACAACGGGCAAGATCGTGCAGCCAAATTTGGTATCAACTTAAAGCTTAGACATCAGAAAAAATGGTGGTATTAAAATATAAGCGGAACTCTGCGGAAATCTAAACGTTTCCTCTGGATTTATAAAAAACGTGGATAATTAGGCCATTTTTCAGTGAATTAACCTTTAATATATCATGAAGATTGTGTTTCTATACATTTTAACCAATTCATGCAACGAAATAAACTATCAGGAATATGTGAGAGCAATTTCATATCAATAACTTAAGAACTTCATGTTAAATTGAAAGATTTATAAAATAAGTCACTTTTGCACTAAAACTGTGAATATGTAGTATTTTGCTGTTTGAAGGAGTAAATTTATTCCCTAGTTGTGCTTACCGGAATTAAATATTTTACTGAGGTATTCCTCAATGTAATACAGTTCAACTGGTCAAGAAGAGAATTGAAGAGAAATAAATCACCAAAAATGAGTTTTG